CCTACACGACGCTCTTCCGATCTCCCCAAAACCCCAAAACCCCATGTTTAGAAAATATCTTATATTGTGTAAGAGTGTAAATTGATTTTAATAATAAAATGTCATTTGAATACCAAAATTAGTAGTAGTACTAGCCTGTGTCTATTTATGAATACGTAGGGATATTTTCACTAAACATACTTTATAGAGTAAAGTAGGAGATGTTTAGATTTAAGAGGACTGGCTAAAGAGATCTCCTAACATCATAGATTACAGATAAAAGCTGTACTAGGCTTTCGCTGATTCCCAGACTAGATATCTATAGAGGAAGAATGAGAGAAGGATCATCAATCAAGTAGAAAATCCAATACCAATGGACACAGTTTAGGATTTTTACTCAGTAGATCCTAAAATAACAAGCTTGGCTTTGCAAAAAAGGAAAATTGTTAAGGAAAGTAGAGGCTAAATCAAAAGAAACATCGAACGATGGTTTGTCATTGATAACTTCCTAATTACTTTCTTTAAAAGAGAAGGTGACTAGGACTTTAAGAAAAACGCCACCCTATAAAATGCTTTTGTTTTAGTAGAAAGATTTGATGATTAATCTGACTATAAGTGGTATGATTTAACAAAGGATTTTAGGGTCTAGATTAGACTACCAGCTAGACAGATCCTGCCCATTTTTTATTATACTGATGATTTACATGAAGCTCACATAATTGCTTGTAGAATATATATGGCCTCATCTTAAAAGAGAGAAGAGATAGGTTCGCTTTTGAAAAAGGTTTCGACATTTGAAACTCTCTTCAGATTCAGAGCTATTTGGAATAGGATATTCAAAGTATATGAAAACAGGCTTTTGAAAATGATATCATTCTAAATTATGGGAATTAACTTGATTGAATTAGCCAACACTGGCTGGTATTAAAGAGAGAAGCTATTTAGGTTCTGGTCTGGCCAGATATTAAAACGTGAGAAAATACCTCTTTTGAGATCAACATTTAGATTTGGAGCTATCAAAAGGCAACTTGATCCAGATCTCTACCGTTCATCATTAATGGTAAGAGAGTAATTGAGGCGTATTGCAAATGCTTTCAAAAACAGAAGACTCTAAAGACATTCTGCAATCTAGCAAGATATCAATACTCTTTTGGAAGAGGAGGAATTAGGATCTCAATGTCAGGATATTCTAATAAAATTCTTTAACGGCAAAGATCTCACATTTTAGTATAACTATAAACTTGGAAACATAAAAATTGATAAAAATCAATACCTCTCTCTTGAAAAACTTTAGGACAAGACTAATGGTGAGTTTTATGAGAGAAATCCACCCATCAAGTTCTTATTAGAATACATTAGTTACATTGCCACCTCTTGCAAGCCATTTGATAAAAATCAAGAATCATATAGACTCAGATTATACGGAAGGACAACTATTGATGCAAGTAAAGATGATTTGACTAATCTAAGCCCTCATTAACTAGGCCTTGATATACTTAGAAGAGAACCGAAGGAAGTGTATCAAGTCAAGATACAATCAATAGAAATTTCCGTTAAACTTGCCTAATAATTCAATTTGAAAGCAGACGTTAGAGTAAGATTAAAGCAGGCTAAGACTTTGGATTAATTTGATACTCATCCTTTCTATATCAACTCAAGACCCTACAGAATATCAGTGCCGCCAGACAGACAAAAAGGTAGAATCGTCATCAAAGGATATGACTATACATTTACAATAGACAAATTAGATCCAAATAATCCAGATGAGGTATTTCAGCTTTATATTGTCTTGCAGAGATATAACGTGCCTGTGACTTAATTCATGAAAGAATTCCTATTTGAGGAGGAGTTCCTATCCAAGAAGTACTTTAAGTTCGAGACAGCTAGCAATTTAGAGGCTAAGGTCAGTGATTCAATGGGCAATAAGATGAAACTTAAGTTCAGCGTTACCAAGGTTTAAAACAACAGCGTTATCTTGCCTGATGAAAGAGAGGGAAAGAGGCTTCACATTGGCAGGTACGCGCTTTACCGCAAAAGAATAGTAATTGTGAAGTCAATTGACAAGGATATGAATTGCAAAGTGCAGTTTTTGAATAAACCTAGTAAGATTGACACAGTGGCATTGAAGAAAATAAACCTCATTGAAAAGAAGGGAGTAAATGTCTTTGATATTGACAACCTGCCTAATGCAATCAGAGACTCTCAGAATCAGTTTGTAATAGAATTAGTTGCCAGTAACAAAAGGCTGGTGAACACTATTACTAGTGCTATTTAGAACAGATAGCTATCAAATTCTTTTGAGCAGAGAAGTTTCTTTAGAGAAGTAAAAAGGGATATAGAGGGTTAAATACTAGTTTCTCTGGTTGAGGTCTTAAATATAAAGCAAATAAAAAACTGCCAGCCCTACGTCAAGATAACTGTAGAGGATCCTGCTACAAGTGATGTTTAGTCTTTGCAATATATCAGTACTGTAAATTAAAACACTCAAGCCACCACATGGGTCTCAAACAGGTCGCCCTCAGGAGAAATCGTAAACTTGGGGAATTTCTTCAAAGAGGAGGTAAACAACATTAAGTTCGAGGTTTTCAATAAAAGAGGGGCAGGTGTAGACTCCTCCTCAGATCAACTGCTGGGAGAAATCCAGCTGACTACTAATGAATTTATTGATATTGAGAAACCTGGTAAGGAAATAAGTTTGATCTTGGAAAATAAGAAAGACAAATCGTATATCTTCCTAGTTATATAGAGTTTGTTTGTTCCTACAAACGTCACAAGGATTGAATACTAACTTACTGATGATATGTCAATCTACTCATCCCCAGAATAGTATTTCCATTAAATATACATGCAGAAGTAATACGAATTAGATACCTTCAACTATCCAGTTCCATTGACTTAGTACTTTCCAAATTATCTTGAAAAGATTTCACAGAAAGTTCTGAATGAGCTAGAGTAGTAACTTACTCCTGGCATATCATCTGTAAGAAATAAGCAATGCTCTCCAGAGGAAAAGCTTTCCATGTCTCTTAAGTACCAAAACATGCAGAGACCTGAAATTGAAGAGGGAGTGCTCTTTTTTAAATACCTGTGGAAGCATAGAGTTCTGTTCTCAAAGTAGCAGTCATTCAACGAGCTGTAGAACAGATTCTGGAGTAAGTTTATCAGTGATATGGAAAAATATGCTGCTACTCATCAGTTTACTCTTCAAATTAAGGATAACGAGGTTGATGGAGAGCTCAATCATAGCTTCGATCACTACTCTAACATCGATGGAAGGTCTACAATACTTAACCAGAATAACTAGAAAGGAGCATAGATATTCGACTGGTTTAAGTAAAAGCCTAACAATCCATAGGAAAATACAAGTTAGATCTCAAAGAAGTAAGCTCAGCAACTGCTGCAAAAGAAGTTTATCCTTCTGTTTAATAGCATTTGGGAAAATGAGGAGGGATAGCAGTATGCTGACACCTACTACTTGATTCAGTCAGGTATACCCCCTCAACTCAGAATAAAAATCTGGAAAGACTTGCTCAAAACTGAAGTCATAGAGTTTGAAGAGAGCAGGCATTTTTAGAAACACTTTGAAGAATTCTTTGATGAGCAAAAGTCTGTTTATGAGAATATGAGAGACTACAGTTCAAGGCAAGACTGTCTTGCCTTCAGATAAATAGACGAGGATATTGAGTATTATCAATTCCCCAAGTTATATCACGAAGATGATGATCATCTTAACAAGGTAATTGCACTGAGAGATGAGAAAAGAAAAATGAGAAATATACTTAGAGTGTTGATTCTTTGGTCTAGAAATAAGAAGTATGACAATAGAATTATAAGTTACAATTATACCAAGGGAATGCTACATATTCTTTAGAGAATGATTACAATAGCCTCTGAAGAGGATACTTTTTGGATCCTCAATAGTATGATCAGATAGATTCCAAGGCTCTTTTCAACTGAAGTGTCATGTCTGGAAGGAGGCAGAAATTCAGCCATGAGAAACGAGATGACTGCTTTCAAAGCTGTTTTAAGAGAAAACTTACCGTAAGTTTGCGATAAGCTTAGATTATTGGGGCTGCCAGTAGACTAAATGATATATGACTCAATGACCAGCTTTTACTCTCACTTCTTCTCATCTGAAGTGGTACTCAGACTTTGGGATTAGATAATCTTCAATTTTAGCAATAATGACAGAGTAGCTAAAAAGAGAGCCTTGTGGTATTTAATGGCTCCTGCCTACCTTGTTATTAGAGAGAAGACTACTGAAATCATGAATGCTCAGAGTATCTAGCAAGTTTTAGACATATACAGTAATGGAAGCTCGCTGAGTTACAATCCCGATTGGGTGGTCAATGAACTTAAAGTTTTGATCAGGGATATATTTGTAACAGGCATTGAAAGGTTGTAGGATGGCGGACAGAGCAAGTTAAGCTTAGGTTTTAACAAACTAATCAACCGTGGAGGCAATAATGTAGACAAGGCGCAACTATTAGAGTAAACAAGAAAAAACTACGAGGCTGATCTATCTCTGATCTTTAACTCGATCGAAGAGGAAAATAAGCAGATTGGAATTTTACTTGAAAAAACTAACTTCTTTGTAAATCCTAGAAATCCTTAGTACTTGGACTATATAAAATGGAGATAGCATGTCATGGCTAGATTTAAGAAGGTAGCATTGAAAAATCAGGATGACTTCTATGACGATCTTTATGAGTATGAGGAACCCGAGATGAATAAGGAAGATATGGATCTGTCTAAGATTAACTTATATTTGCACTAGATTTAGAATCTAAATGGGATCAGATTATTTAAGATAAGGCTTTTGTATGGTAGAATTATTAATGATTTGCAAGTGCTTGAGGAGAGATATAGTGAGGATGTATATAAGGATACATAGATTAACCAGTATCATGCTTTTGAATACCTTAAAGGCTATAATCAAGTTAAAGTCGAAATTCTTGATAATTAAAATGATGATGTAAGCTCATATTCTTATTGTTTATCTGTCTTTAGTAAGTGGTTTGTGAGTTGATTGTTGATCTTAGGGAACTGAACTCAAATCGCTTCATCAAGAAGTACTATCAAATGAGGAATGAGTATCTGGTAGAGAATTTAGATTCATACAGGCAACCATTCACAGTTTTCGTAATCAGTTTCTTTCTGCAAACTCATACCACTCATTAGCATGATGAGCTTATGAAGTCTAGAAATACTTAAATGTCTCAGTTCATTAACTCAATAAAGAGGAAACTCCCAGATAGAATAGATATTTTCAACAAGAAAAACGAGACAGAGTTCGTAGAGCACATGAAACATGATTTTAAGAGAATAATAAAGGAAGAATTTGAAGCTCTCTCTAACTTCCTGCCAGAGTAGTAAGCTAGAAACACCATCAATGACAACTTTAACTTCATTGAGGACTCAGATTTTGGAAACATAACCATAGGAAACTTGCAATATCTAGTGAAATAGTGTTTCTTTACAGAATGGTTACCATATCTAGACTCACTTTACAAGATATTTGTCAAGGAAGAAGAGAACAAAGAGGAGGATATGAAGTAAAACGATGATGATGGCAATTTAAATGATGACTCTTTTGCTATTGAGGATAACAAAGGAAATTTCAATGTCTTTACTAAGATTAAAGATGTGGTCATGAAAAAGCCTTAGAGCACTATAAGTGGAACTTAGAACTAACTTCAGAAAAGCCAGAATAATAATGCGATGCTTTTAGAGGGAAGAACTACAATAAAAAAGAGGTCAAAGCTTCCATTTTCTCTTAGAAATTTCATCGTTAGTTTGGTGCTAATGAGTCACTGCACAGTCAATGAAAAATTAGACATCCTATATGATTTATTCGATTGGAACGATGGAGTTGCTGATGGTTTAGATATGAATTCGATGTTTATGCTAATCAAGACTATATTTGAAAGAAATTTATATTACTGGCCATCTCATGAACTATTCAATCTAGTTGAAATGGCTTTCGATCTTTCAGTCTCATCTATTTATCAGGTACTATGGACTAAGGAGATTAATGTCTCATCTACCAAGAAGTACATTAAATTGAAGGACCTCTTAGCTAGAGCTGATTAAATTAAGCCTGAAGAAAAATTCACAATTGATTGCACTGATGAGATGCTGGAAAATATAAACAGCTATCAGAGAATGTTTGGAAATAAGAATATTGATTTCAATGTGGATTCAAGTGCATTCAAGAAAATAGATACCCTCATTAAAGGGGGAAAGAAAATGATTGAGAACACTAGTTAAGGAGGTGGAAAGTACAGGCTAGTTATCTTCTATTTAGTTTCAAGTGAAAGATATCAGTTTGAAGTGGAATATGATAATGAAGGACAACTTATAAAGAATAGAGACCTTGATGAAAAAGATGATATTGATGAATATCTCAAGAGAAATATCAACAAGCTGTATCTAACTGGTAGGTCAAAGGGAATAAGTAAAAAGGAATTTCTGTTGAAGACTAGTCAAATACCATTCCTTTAAGATCTTATTAGAGTTGAAACTATTTACAGAGATAGATTCTAATCAACTTTGCAGAAGAAAAACAAGCTTGAACAAGAGTTGATAATTTTAATTAACGAAGAGGATATGCAATTCATCTTTAGGTTTTAGTCAAGAGTGATGTAAAACATCGAGGGAGACATGCAAGTTATTGACCAAAAGACTTTTAGAATTCTGATGGCTGAGGCCTATGAGCAAGACACAATCTCTGATATTAGAGAGAGAATCGTTAAGGTGATGATAAAGGTGAGTAAAAAGGAGAAGCAAATCTAAGATAAGCATATTACTCTGCTAAGAGGGGCTAAAGATTTCTTTTTAAAGGAAGATAATTCAATCAAATGGAGAATGGTCAATGAGTATGACAGGCTTGTTGAGTTCAAGAATCAGAATCAAGCGATTAGCAGAATGCAGAAGGAAATCATACTTAAGATGGAGCAGACTAAGCACTAGGGCGAAGACAAGTTTATGAACAGCAAAGAGGAGGAGAGAGATCTTGCTGGTTTCGATTGCTATTCATTGTATAAGCACTGTGATAACTCTTATGAGTGGAGACTGTGCAAGATCATGCAAAAGGAACCATTCGCTTAGAATCAAGGGATAAATGGAATGCTATCTGGTGGCGCTGCTGCGCTAGATGTTCTCAAAAAGGACTCGAGCTTGCAACAATTTTACTACTGGATTGAATTTTTGCATCATAGAAAGACGGGATAAAAACTGTGGCTGAAGCGCAGAAGAGAGGAAATCTTAATAAGTGCAAGGTACGCTCGTGAGCAGCAAAGAAATTATCAATAGACGACACTCAAGTTCATCAGAGATCTATACTAGGAAATTTTACCACATAAAGAATGCGATCTCAAATTTGTTTAGAAAAATGTGCCTGATTAATCACAGAATGATCAACAGTTTATTCAGCAGAAATGATAATCATTTCATTGATTAATTTAACTTTAATTTCATGATCAACTTTCAATAATGTACTCATGGGGTTTTGGGGTTTTGGGGTTTTGGGG